ACTGTGCTTAAATCATTTATATTATTTAAATACTAACAAACCGTATTGCTCATTTGGTGACACAAAAGTCTTGTTATAATGTACTCGATTCTACCAGTCTGTTATTTTATTACTTGTTATACTATTGTTTTAAAAAGTTTACCTCAGTTTCTATCAGAAATAAAATATTCTGTAGTTTTCCTACAACTATTAAGTATTGTCGTTCATAAATTTCTTTTTCATGAATTATATCTACAATCTCACTATTAAAAATACAAGTGCCATTGTACAAATCCCATACAAATACTTTCATACTATGGTACAGTTCTGGATTTGGCATTAAAATAGTAGCTCTTTTCCCTAATGAACAATTAGAATCTCAAAGTACAATGCGCACTGGTATATTACAATTAAAATACTTCGTGTTCTGTTCATCTATCAACAATTGCGCGCGATTTAAAAAAAGACATATCAAAATTATTGTACTGTTCTCGGTTTTAAACGATCACCGAATCGATACATTTCCCGCGGACGTCCTTGCTACGTAATTACTATTGCACGATCGTTAAGAGATTACACTAAATTACATCGTGTAGGGGTTGCGATGCTTAATATCCGCTTCAAACAGGATTAGTGTCATTATACTTCCTCATCCTTCTTTCTGGAGTAGTTCCAACTTCGACGATGCCGGCAAGCTTCTTCCTTTTGTTTTTTTTTATCAAAACGACTGTATTCCGGTTCGAGCGACACAAATTAATTAGCGCAGCTAACGTACCATTAAAAGGTTCCCGTAACGGGAAAAGAAATGCACCCGATCTCGGGACCGCTTAAGATCAATTAGATCATCCGGTAAAAATACTTCATTCTCGTTTCCACGAACTGCTCATCCTGTTAATCCTCGTGTCTGCTCGCTTCTTTGCCACCGCGGCACGTGATTCCTTTCCTTTTCTCATCTCTATCGAGGGGATTGAACGTCTCTGAAATTTGCTCACCGCATATCTCTGGGCGAGGAACGCTGCCACGGGCTTTCCTACGAATTGTATCGCGACAGTAACTGTACATAGCGGATCCCGGCAATTACTTGCCAGCGTACTCTTGATGTATGTTTATGAGGAACCAGAACGCCGCCGCCAGGAACATGGTACCCGTGAGGTCGCCCAATGCCGTCAGGTACGGGATCGCCGAATTGTCCGGGTCAATTTTGTGACGCCACATGGCGTGAATAATGATATGCGCCACGTAGAGCAGCAGCATAACCTGCGATAAAGGACAAATAAAGAGGCTGATCGGTTTGGAATTATTTCTTTTTTTTTTTCGGTCGATCACGGCCGTGACCGGAACCTTTCACTTATCCGGCCAAGCACGAAGGAACGGAGCCGTCGTACTCACCTGAAGTACAGCGACCACGAGGTACGAGATGACGAAGTACGCGTGCAGCAAGGATGTCCCGTGCTTGATGTAATCGGCGAGGAAAATGAAGACTAGTTCGCCGACCACCGCCATGCAAATGAGTATTCTGGCCGTTTTCGCATATGGCGCTACAAAACGAAAGCGAACGGCATTATGCAATGGTGGAAGTGCGAAAAATATGTAGCGGCAACATTAGTTATTCTTGCGTCATCTCGCCACTTACAGCCTCTAAAGAGCGCCGTCCACGGGCTAACCCACATTTTCGAGCTCGGCGGTAAAATTCCCATAATCGTGGTCTGATGCAACGTTGTTGAGATTCGAGACGCTTGAACAGAGACTAAATTGCCGCCGATTCCATTTATGATAGGTTGGAAGATCACGAATCCTTTGTACTCGTCGACGACGCGATCCAGAATCAGACCGCCGAATCTAAAAGCACGAATCCCATCGTTTATACGTTTTCGTTTTCGAATCGTTTAACGGGAGAGCACCGCGGCCGTCGGGAGCAAATACTTACCCACTAATAAATAGAGCGGACAAAACTGGAACCCAGCCGGATGTTAGCACGTTTCTGGTGTATTTGTTTCTCAATACAATGTAAATCCAGAACGGTAATATCATTAAGTAACAGCCAAGTATAACATAAAGGACCCATATTTCCGTGTGTATCCTCTGGTACAACGACGACGCGATCCCCGACAACACGCTCAGGGATACGACGTCGCCGACGGACGCTGCCAACGGCGTTGCCAGATTGTCCGGGTTCATTTTACATCGATAAGACACCATTATCACGGCGATCATTACAAAATCTGTTCGGGTGAGAAGTCTCGATTAAGGAAACGCTACCAAGGAGTAGAACACATGCAAAATGCAATCAATGATAGGAAAGACGACAAAAAAACTGATGTATAATAGTTTGCATCGGAGACGTGAAAAAAACGTCCTTTTTATTGCCATGAAACCGCGAGCAATTCAATACTGGTGCAAAGCGACGTACGAATATCGTTTAAACGAATCGATATGATCTGATTGATCGCTTAGCTGGTAGGCGATATTAAAACAGAACTCGATTGATCGAGAATCGGTACGGTTAACTTTGTAACTGCTACCTGCTTGCAAGATTTCATGCTGCGCGATTGTAAAAGACGCGAAAAGACCACCTTCGTAAAAGTCGGCCGAAATCTAAATCATCGGATAGGAGAATAGAAACCGGGGACTACTCGATAGTTTGAGTGTTGCGGCATCAACTGATAGGCGATGCAATTACCTAGAATGAAACAGGAACTGGTGGCAGTGGATACGCTAGATGCGGCCAGCAGCAAGCAATGCTCCCATTTGAAATTGTAGTGGTTGCCTTCCACTATCGCGTCGACCACAACTGCGAAAATCGACACCAAGATGGCCGCGACGATCGCTTGTATCTGTACCAGGGCGATGTTACCGATAATCATTTTCGTGATCTCTCGGACACCGTTCATATTCCCTAAATTCGCTTGCGTGCACAAGCGCGAGGCCAAGCACATGTCCAGATTGCCTTTCAATCCTAGCAAAGAGGGCACCAGAATGAATAATTGAGAAACGGTTTTAAACACGTCCCAGTCCTAGAACAGAGACGAGGTTTAATTAAACGGGTGTGGGCGGAGGGGTTCTAGACGGTGTTTTGGTTCTTCGCCGGTGTCTATTCTTATGATGCGGTAGGCAGGGTGCGACGGGGAATGTAAATTATGTTCTTCTAGAGATTCCACATTAGTGTTACCCGATAGAATCACGAATCGCGTACGTTTACATCGGGGACAGAAATGGCGGACCGGGGCGCGGTATTTATGGAAAAGATTCTTTCGATCGCGACCGTGTTGCTCTCGGGACCATCTCGTGCGTCGTTGCCGCGTCAGATTAATTGCGCGAACATGCGATAAATAGAAAAATAATATTGCCGTACACTTTTGTATTATCTTCGAACAATGCGAAGTCGAGTAGCCGGATTGATAACGGGACGTGATCGATACGTACAGCTGATTTACGATCAGTGCCATTGGGGCCCAACCCGTGCTAGATAATTCTGCGCTGGTAATACGGGCTAAAAGCTAATGAACAAGTTCGTCGAGCGTACCTTGACCTCTGCGAGAACCAGACCGGCCCCGATGGTGCCAATTCCGGCGATGAAGAACGGCACCGCGACCTGCAGCGTCGTCTGGTACCATCTTTCGTTCCTGTGGGTGTTGTTTCCGAATCCATCCGAGTTATTAGGGAAATCCGGATTGGTATCTGAATTTTCGACGGAAGAGATCGTCACTAGGGAACTTCCACTGGAATGCGATCGGCCACCGAGAGTGCACAGTGACATGTCCCCTTTGTTCTTTTGTCCGTTAGGGGCTTTCAATCCCGCTACCGAGAAACGAACATATCTCACATCGCACAGTACCGATGTCTCAACAACATTCACTTAGCATTTCGCGTAATATTGATATCGGAGATCGTCGTACGAACCCCCGCCTGAATTATCACATCAATATCGCGATGTTTTTCAATAATTAATTCCATTTACAGCGACGGAAATATCCATTAACGCCGCGATCAACGTCCAAGCGAATTTCGCAGGCGCGAATACTTTCAGCACTGACCGCGAATTGATTTCTCCACGCCGAGAACATGAAAAACAACGAATAGGGTTATCGCTTTCGAAACGATTGTTGTTATTTATATATATATGTGTGTGCAGTGCCGCAACGTGTCGCGATGTTTCCTTATTGTTTCGTGTTCGCCGCGGGCATCGTGGAATATAAAAGGTGGATTTTTATTATTATCGTTTCTCGGGCTAACGTTCCGCCTCGCGTTTTATAGGTTTCCTCTGTTTAATAAAATCGCGCGTGAAACAAAGGAAGCATCGATGTTATACAATTGCTATGCCATTGTATGCGGTATTACTTACCGAACACGTTTCATTCTTACGAGCGAGCAATCTTACAAGCCTGCAATGATCTTATTATAGATCATAGATCGCGCATACGTCGAATACGAATATAGCCGCGGAATTAGGGAAAAGTCATCGTTTACAATGTCAAGGTCACGAGTAGATTGCGAACATTCATACCGAGAATAAGGAAGTTTAATGAATTCTAACGAGTCTTTCATTTTTCCTGGTAGTACTGGAGATTCTAATACAGTGAGCAGACTTTTCCTTGGTTTCTGTATCTCTATACTTGCACGACATATTCAGTTTGGTATTTCTTAATTTGTTTATAAACATGTCGGTAAGAAGAAGAATAGCAGGCAATACTGTTGAAATTATCAATATGATCGAGTGCTAACTGATCTTCTTAAATCATGTAACGGCGTTCCAAGCTTAGCTCTTTTATCTATTAGTAGAATTGATTTCCGCAACTATCTTGTTCAACCGACTCCGCCGATCGACAACTACAGTTATTATATTACGGCAATCGACACACTAATACAAGGAGTCCGATCGTATCTCGTTTTCCTTGAATTAATCTATGAGAGTATGAATTTCTACGACGACATCCGCAGTCTGGCAATTAGTGCCTTTTTTCAAAAACACGGCGATGCTCACCTGCTACCTTCTTCACGACATCCGGTTCCACCTTGATGTCCGCGGACCCATTCATCTTGGTCTCGTTGCCCTTCTCCATACAATCGAAATCAAGCGCATAGTTGTCCTTGCCGTTCCACATGTTGACCCGCGATATGGTGAACGCGTGATCCTTAACCTTCATGCCGTCGGTCTTCTCTGCTAATTGCTCATCGTGATCCGGCCGGTTGTTTAACTTTATATCAGTTACGTTCAACAGCGTCGGCTCAGTCGACGAGTCCGGAAAAGCGACCATACCTGCAATTTTTTCCGATGATTCGCACGGTGTCGCGTTCTCACGGCACGAGTCGGTCGAGTTCGCATTTTTTTTTTTTAATAAACGACAATGGTAGAGGAAGAGTTCCGAAGGTCGGCGTTCAACGGGTCATAGATCAAACTCGACTCGAGACGGTGCTTGTTCTTTCCTTTCGTTTCACTAAATTCAAATGACCACGTACCGGATTCGTTGCTGCCGGGCAATCGTATAGTATCCCCGTCGAAATTGGCAGACTCGGGGATCGACCTGTGATAGTTTCACGTCGGACCTGCCTATTTCGGTCAGCCTTGATCTAGAGAAAATAGCCGAAGCAAGAGGAAAATATTAGTGGCACGATCCTCTTCCTCCGCAAAGAGCGAACAGAGATTTAATTATAAATCGGCCGATTAAATTCCCAAGATAGACCAGAGCCTATCACCTTGACTCTTATCGATTCGTTCGGTGGCCATAAATCTTGTTATTGATTCGTTGATTGTTTGATGATCGATATTGGCCACGGGTACTCATTAACTGATAAAAACCGCGAGAGAACACCGGGATTGATGGTTACGATACGCCGGTCTTTTCGGAGTCGTTGCTCTTCGGCTAGACGGCCTGATAGCGCGTGAAACATTATATACGTGATCAGCACGGTATCGTTAACGACACGAGGAATTTAGTTCTTGTGTTACTATTAATCTGATCCCACGTGTCGCCGGATTTAAATTGCACGCGTGCAAAACGCTGCAAACGGCTGTGCAGGATTTATTCGAGAATCCACTTAGAGGACAACATTTCCTGTGAAACTGCTAATGGAATCACGGCGATCGCACTTCAAACGAGACCACGAGATTTCGAAAAATATTCATTAGCCGAAACTCGAGCCGCTTATTTAATTCACCGGTCCTCGACTATCCACTCGTTTAAACACAGATATTTCCCATTCATCCAATTTCCTCGCGCTTCCCCGTCGCGTTGAAAATACAGCGACATTGCCGTTGCCGTGTCCTCGAACAAATTCATGTACAGTTTCCGCGTATCGAATCGTTTTGTACGGCTTATCGTCTTGCGTGCCGCTAAGATTTATCATACATGTCCATCTAAATTAATGGCCTCCGTAGGCCCGTAAATTCATTACCGACAATTAAACACCGATTATGTCGCAAACAAAATGGAGAAGAAGATATCTCGGGTTCCGACCTTCTCGAGGTCTAAACTTTCACTTATTCATTTATAAATGCTGTTTTGGTGGCGTCTGGTACAAAGTCCAAATCCAAACCGAGTCCAAGTGGTTTTAGAGTCTAAATACCACACAAATGTGAAACAGAATTTATCCGGATTATAATCCTTACGTTGATAACCTGACCTAGGTTCACTTGCTGTAATTCGATCATTTTTGTTCATTGAATAATGCCCATTCTTTGAACACTATTACGTATGGTTTCCAGGTAAACGGGATTTACGCGACGAATCTTAAATACTAGAATTATTTTCTTAATTGGTTGCCAGCTCGAGTGTCAAGAGATTGGACGAAAACAAGATAACAAGAGCTCTCTGGTTCGCTCCTCGGAGTGTTTAACAATTTCGAGAATAAACTAGAAAGAAAAAATAGCATCGTGGTTGTGACTGGTACTTACGTAGTAACGATATATCGAGGAATTTGCGCCAGCGTGTCGACGTTTCCTAGTAAAACGTTGATTGTTCGTTGATGTTCGATTGACCCTGCCACTTCTGGCTCGCGCTGCTTCGATCTCGTTCTCGAAGGAGCGTTCGGTCTCCGGCCGGGATCCTTGGTGCTGGAAATGCGGGTGGTTGGCTCGCGGTGGTTGTTCCCGTGTCGGGCCAAGGTGGAGCACTGTGATCGAGGATCGATGAGGCGACGCGGGATCGCGTCGCGGGACTTTCGGTCTCGCAAAAAAGTGAAGTCCCGAGTGTAAAGATGTCGCACTACTGCCGCCTTTCGATCCGTTTGCTTCACGCGGTCGTGGTTGACTGATAAAAGAAGCCTCGGCTCGTTTGTCGGTACTTCAGCCGCCTATGTGCATAGGAGATGCGTGCGACGTGTTCCTTGCCGTCCGTCCGCACGCACGTGCGCTATCTCGTTGGCCGTGCGACAGTGGGAGGAGGAGCGCTTATCGTGAATAAATTGTAGATCACTAATTGATTTGCGACGTCGCTCGCGTGAAATCCCCATCCGAACTTGGATCGATTCTAGACAGCCCCCACCATCGACAAACCCGTCTCCCACCTAGCGCACTCGGACAATAATACGCAAGCGGCCGGCGCAAACTGTGAACGACACGAATTTAATCGTGTAGCTAGACGACGAGGCGACGATTACTGGGAATCGCGGATCACTTCCGGCAATGTCCGCTAGTCATGTTCGCGCGGCGCTGTCGGAACGAAGATGTGATCGGATCCTTGTGGTTGAGAGATTTTTCTTTTCTTCGGCGTCTTATCTAAGCGGCATTGCGACTACTGGAGTACACGAAGTGCAGATACGTCCAAGGCGACCGACTCGACATCGAGAACGAGTATTTAGTATATGAATCGCGACAACTGACGCTTTTCTAGATAAGCCCGTGTAGCTGGACGTCTTTTTTTTACCGGAAGCTCACGCGATTCATGCGAATGAATGATGTAGATCTAAATCCAGCCTTCAGGGTAATCGTGAAGCAATCGGCGTAACATGACGACCACCGCGAGCGTCAGGGACGCGCCTTTCCCAAATGATACCGCGATCTCAAACAAACATCGATTTGTGACATGCACCGACGATTCATGTGGTATCGATGACGCGCCCGCCAACCACGATTCGGTTAAATAATTCGTGGCGACGAGTGTTCGCGCTGTTCACGGAACAATGGGACGATTTAACTCGCCAACCATTATTCCGAGTAATTATGAAACAAAACGAATGCAGACAAATTACAACGGCACGGCCGTCATCGCCGTGACTTTGCTATCATTAAAAATAATAAAGGGAAACAAGGAGGACATTTATCGGTATCAGGCAGCAGGATCAAGGATGTCGCGTTCGACGAGTCCTGCTCGCGTAAAATCGTAGCGTTTGGAATTCTTTCGAGCCGACAGACACTAGTTTCAACTATGTAGCTAATTAGTAAATACTAGGCGAAAGTAAAAATTTGAATGGAATCATAACAAGTGGCAAATTCGTTGTCATTTCCCGGATACAATTGGTGGTCCTGAATCGGTATTACGTAGATAATGATTAGAAACTGGTTGGATCGAACAGTTTTTGTGTAAATGAAAGTTTAGATCACTGGTATACACAGATCTTGCAAACACTGTCAAAACCGCGTGTCTTCCTTTGAAATGAGTAAATAATTCGTCGTCGCTTCGTGAATACAATATGGAAACATGAGNTGTCTACGTAATTTCGATTCAAAATTGCTTATTTTATTCGCGAAGTAACGATGAATTTACTCATCTCGTGACAATGTTTATAATATTTGTGTGCACCTAATCCCGATTTAAACTTTTAGTTAGAAGAGAATTGTATAAATTAGTTCCTATAATAAATATATATATATATATATATAATTATATTTTTGTCACGGTATATATATATATATATATATTTATTATAGGAACTAATTTATACAATTCTCTTCTAACTAAAAGTTTAAATCGGGATTAGGTGCACACAAATATTATAAACATTGTCACGAGATGAGTAAATTCATCGTTACTTCGCGAATAAAATAAGCAATTTTGAATCGAAATTACGTAGACATTCGAATGAAAAACTGTGTAATTTGATTGCACAGCTTTCCGCTAAATGGAAGTTTCAAATGTCATGAACCCCCGTGTCTTTTCTAACAGAGGGATCCGATTTCAACCAAATCGACGAGAAACTATGGAAAAGGCACCAACTATTTAGATTCGTTTACAGAAATGCTCATCGAATCTTCAGCGCCCACCTAATCGTAATTATCGTTTCCGCTGGAAATCCTTTGTTTAACCGTGATTTTATCAGATAACAAGAAATGTCACTCGATCCGCTCTGTGTTTACTGTCCGCGCCTTCAGACCATGAGAATGTAATGGAAATTGCGCGCGAAACGTTCCGACCAAACGATTCAGCGACGCTCGGGATTCCCATTAAAATCTGGCACGGGGGTGGTGCTGTTACGGGGCCCGTGAACACTTGCGTAGAATCGAAATTCATGGCTTACGTGACTCGAACGCGTTTCGAACCTCCGCACCGGACCGGTAGCAGCCGTGGCACTAATTTCACGAGAGCCTAAACAACAATAACGACGCCGAGTATAGGTCAAGTACGTGTCACGGTATTTACATTCGAGCAGGTGCCACTCTGTTTGATATCATCCTCAATCAAAGGGGTGCGTTATCGGACCGGTAAACAGGCTCAAATATTGTTCCGCGATTTTCTAGATCGCGAAAATATGCTCGGAACGCGGCGCGCGCAGCTTTATCATCGAGAGTGCAAGAGGCTGGCTGTTTAACGAATGCTAACGAAGTATTAAAAATCGGTCTCGCCGAGTCGCCCATCTCTGTGCCCCGTTGCCGGCAGCATAAACAAGAAAATCCTGACACCTCTCGAACGACGTTCGACGTGTGTATCGCACTAATAAGACTACCACGGTATACACGAATTTTATAGCGGCTTTATCACTGGCTGTAAAACGCACGGATCTACCGTGTGATCTCGCTGCAGCAATCAACACTGTAAACCACGTTGCGCATGAAACAATGGCCATATAGTGGTCGAGAGTTCTCTTTAAATTCATCAGGCCCGTTTTCTATTTCAATGAATACAACGTCGAACCGCGTTTCTTGAAATTCCTTACCTACCGATTGCTTATACTTTCTTTATTGTATCGTTTAGAACGGACAATGATGATGATTTCTGTCATATGTATTGGGTCGTTCGGAAAGTTGTTTCGTTCTTTCACGAGAAAATAAAAGACAATTTGTTAATGTTTCAAATAAAAAAAAGACCTTCCGACGTTTTTCTGGTCTTATTTCGTATTCGGCCCCGTCGTTTGCTGAATCACGTGCTTCTTTAACGGGCTTACAAAACGAAATTTTTTTTGAGAAACGAAACAACTTTCCGAGCGACCCAATATAATAATCTTGGATATCAATCAGTGTCTATTTCAATCCTACGACGTTTGTAGAATGCTTTGCACAGCGGGACGATAATTAAATGCCAACGTAAATCAAAGTGACGGGATCGAAAGAAATACGATTTTTAAGAATGATACCGCATTCCTTGGCTAACAACAGCGAGATTACCTCCTTATTGAAAACCTGGTGCACAGCGTCGTGCTGTGCGTCAAGTTCACGTTCCCGATGGCATCGTAGGTGTTATCGGTGCACCATGAGTGGGTAAATAATTGCATTAAATTGAGGAAAACAAAGTGGCGTGCCCGTTTCGCCGAGGCGAAGTGAAAAAATACGTAGGTTAGTTGAAATTCTAGAAGGATAAATGTATAATTTATGCCTGCTATGCGGCGACGTTCGTCTCCGGGAAAATTACGAAATAAATCCGCAACTCATTTCGGTTTTTCCAACCAGTTTTACTAACGCGTATCACACCGCCAAGAATGCCTTGACGGTGCATCTAGAATTTCAGGATTGATGGCAGAAGTTTGTGGCATTTGTTTGAATATGTCCCAAGCGATTGGTCGTTTAGAAATAGATAATGCCAGGACTGTTAACTAGAATGCCCTCAGCCGATGTGGCAATAAAGATTAAACTTTAAACGACTTAAAATTACGAGTTTTCGGCAATTTATCAAACCTGTTAATACTTCCTCAATGGCATAAACAAGCTTGTGGATAACCATTAAGAATCGTAATGTTATTTACGAATCTTCTGCAATTACCGCATCTTGTGCGTCTCGGTTGATCAAAGTAATTTATAAACAATTCACTTGAGCAGATGCATAATGTCTAATTATCAAAAAGGTATCTACTGGCTAATCATGAGATGCCAAGGAAATATGCGCAGAATGACATGGAATGACCGAGAAAGGAAAAAGTGGTAAAAGATGATAGAGACTACATTGAGCTGGCAGTAGACAGCTAAATGAGGTTCTAGAGGTTGTTAAATGATAACTGATTACGTTGCATACAACTAAAATGGTAGCTGAGATAAGTGAGCGATTTAAGAATGTTTGAAGATGAGAAAAAGAAGGGAACAATGCAGAAAAATGGTTATGGATGTGTTTACGGATCGTTAAAGAAAGTCAGAAGAATCTCTCGCGGACGTCAATGTCCAAAGAAATCGGTAATAATCAGAGATGCGTATGTAATTGGCAGAGGGAAAAATCTGGGGACTCCCATGAGAAGGACTTCCCAGCTCGGAGGCCTCGTAGAGAATAACAATATTCAGTTTATACGATATCTTTGTCCCTGAACTGATAGAAAAATAAGCTATTCAACCGATTGCATTTCTAACTAACTCATAAATATACAGATCGCAGATCTTCGTGCAAATTCTGATTTTCACACATCATTGTACGAAAAATTAGAATTCAAAGAAAGCTGTCTTGAGAAGATCACACAACTGAAGGATCGCCGGTTGTAAAAATAATATAAAAATGCTATTGGTCCTCGTTGATTTATACGCGTCCTTGAATTTTTTAAATCTGCACACGTCACGAATACATAAAGATCCGCAGGTCTACTCGTAAACCAGACCAAATTAATAATCATAAATGAACTGTTTATACGTTGGCGTTTAAAAATAATCTTATCTCTCGCATAATACATTGCTGTTAATAATATGGTAATGAGAGGGTGAAGAAATGAAACGACACCGGTTAATGATTATTAGACTATATTATTGGACGTATCCAACTATTCTTGACTAACAAATAATATTTATCGACGAACAACGAATCTCTATGAACTTACACTGTAATTTTGATTTTTCGAATTTTGATTTTTCGCTCTTCCCGCTTTTTGTACCCTCGATCGTTAATCGCTAACAATCATCTCAAAAGAATACCAAACTCACTAAGAAACATTGATACACGAAGTTCGTTTTGTATGGCGAATGATCCGAATACATTTGAAACGTATCCTTCCTTCCACGATAGGAACATTATGTTTTGGCGTACACGCGTAACACGTAAATCCGAACCAGTTTGTACAGGAGAACTTGCTTCAAAGTTTATCTACATTTGTAAGAAGTTTGCGAAAGTGTACGTGTATTTTGTTCAAGTTCTCTTTCGCACAAACTAATCACGGTTGGGCTCGATGCAAATTCTGTTTCTCGAACACGCGAAATCAATTGCGAGTGTTTTATGGCGTTCGTAATCCCTTACGCAGTTACAATGCTTGATGGTTTTCTCGTTGGAACTGATAAGTAATGAAAACAGGAACGTTACAAAGCAATATATAAATATTAGAACCTCTATCGCGTAAATACTTATAAATAGACGTATTTAGATGAAAGCATTACATTAGGAACATTCGGTTTTCTGTATTCTAACATTACACATGTACAGCTATCGTTACACTTAAAATTATGGATTTCTCTCTCTCTCTCTCTCTCTCTCTCTCTCTCTGTCTGTCTGTCTGTTTTCTCTCTTTCCACTTCTCTCAGCCATTCTCTCTTTCTCTCGATAAGAAACAATCGATACCTCNATCGACGAACAACGAATCTCTATGAACTTACACTGTAATTTTGATTTTTCGAATTTTGATTTTTCGCTCTTCCCGCTTTTTGTACCCTCGATCGTTAATCGCTAACAATCATCTCAAAAGAATACCAAACTCACTAAGAAACATTGATACACGAAGTTCGTTTTGTATGGCGAATGATCCGAATACATTTGAAACGTATCCTTCCTTCCACGATAGGAACATTATGTTTTGGCGTACACGCGTAACACGTAAATCCGAACCAGTTTGTACAGGAGAACTTGCTTCAAAGTTTATCTACATTTGTAAGAAGTTTGCGAAAGTGTACGTGTATTTTGTTCAAGTTCTCTTTCGCACAAACTAATCACGGTTGGGCTCGATGCAAATTCTGTTTCTCGAACACGCGAAATCAATTGCGAGTGTTTTATGGCGTTCGTAATCCCTTACGCAGTTACAATGCTTGATGGTTTTCTCGTTGGAACTGATAAGTAATGAAAACAGGAACGTTACAAAGCAATATATAAATATTAGAACCTCTATCGCGTAAATACTTATAAATAGACGTATTTAGATGAAAGCATTACATTAGGAACATTCGGTTTTCTGTATTCTAACATTACACATGTACAGCTATCGTTACACTTAAAATTATGGATTTCTCTCTCTCTCTCTCTCTCTCTCTCTCTCTGTCTGTCTGTCTGTTTTCTCTCTTTCCACTTCTCTCAGCCATTCTCTCTTTCTCTCGATAAGAAACAATCGATACCTCTTTCTTCGGCATTCTGTTTTGTAACGTACAAATGCTATCTCCCGTGTCTCCGGAAGTCTAATCCGCTTCCGTCGATCGGTAGAGCGTCGACTGTCGTTTTGCAAAAATAATCTCCCGTATCATCTGACTTTCGCAGAAAAATAATTTGGTATGGTGCGCGTTTAGTTATTTGTTCCTCCAACAACGCTGACAACAAACGGTCGGTTCGAATATTCATAATTATCCTCCGTTTGTATGTTTTCGGTATGTTTTCGCGGCAACCGATTATTATGTACACATACACACGCGCTTTCATACACGCTCGCACACGTTGTTCTGCACACCACTTTGTAAATATATATATGCATATATTTATCTATCTGTATATGTATATATATATATATAATATATATATATTTATATATTTAATAATTCGTCATCGAAACAGTATTTACTTGTACTTCTGGTTCACCGAGTAGAATACATTCATTTTCAATTACATTAGCCGCCTAAACGTCCTCGTTATTCGCTAAGTGTGAAATACCTAAGAGGACCCTGAATCGTGGTACTTAACGATCGAAATACTTGTCGCGGTTGGCCGTGTACCCCCGAGTCGTCCCCTCCCCCCCGTATCCATTTTTTTAACAACTAATTTTGATTTTCTCTCAATCGCTTAACCTAGCGCGCACGTTACGTATTTCACGATATCCTCGAACGTATCGTCGCCGTACTTATAGTATTGCTTAACTGCAAAAAGAGTTGGTGTACATAATTCGCAAGAATCACACACACACGCGGCGCGCAAACACACACGCAAATAGAACACGCGTATGTACACATGCGTTCGCTAGTTGTAAAAACGAGACCTGCTAAAACCGTATTACAAATGCGATCGATTAGCAGGATCGATATTGGTCGAGATCCGAACAAAAGGACACACCTCGTCTCGATTCGAACGTTCTGATCAGCCCGCGGCTGCGCGGCTCGTTAAAGCTTAAACTTAGGAACATACGTTCGTACAATATAGATTAATAGGAACTTAGGGTACCATCGGTCTATCACGTGTACACATCGTTTTAATCAAACTCTGGGAGCGCGCGAATCGCCGATCGATCGTTATTTACAGCGGGTCCAATGAACGACATCATCTTTCACGCGCCGGTAATCATTGTCTCGAACTTATAGGAAAATACGGATAACCAGCAGTATTGCGTCATTGCCAGTAAACGTACAATGCGATGCGTCCTCTCGGTATACGTCTTTGTGCGTTCAGAATTTCTCGTGACGGTTGCGTAACCTTTTTCAACCAGAGCTATTATTGTCAGACGGCTGCACGATGCTTTACGTAAGAGCAAAAAAAAAATAAAATCAGCTATATTTTTTTGCAATATATCTGCAGATATATGTAAATACGTAGATATGCATATACACGTGCCGATCTCTTAGGTGCCGCTTCGTCCGTGAACGAACAGCAAAATACCAAAGATGTAAACGCGAAATTGCTACCTGAGTTTTTACTTAGTTGCGTTAATTAGGTGCCGCTCCATTAAAAAGTATATGGTCTAGCTACGGGAACTAATTCGTTGAACAGTTTGCTAGTGCTTTCCTCGAAATAAAAGATACGAGCATATGACAACAAAAATGACGGATTTTGAACCTATTATTTTATAATTATTGAGATTTTACAGATGCTTTTACGGATAATTAGTGGATATACCTATTTATTCGTGGATACTTTGCAATAAAAATTGTTCAATATCAGTAGTTATTAGTTCAGGTGTTACGTATCTGTTAGATTACAAAATTTATTTAAACGAAAAATGAGATACTTATTAGTGTGCTTATGTACACTTAGATTATCGTTTATGAACGTGAAGTTAAAATGAACAACACTAACGAGCGTCAATTCCGCTAATTGTCTGTCAGCTTGTAAACAAAAATGGATAATTTGGGAAAAGGAGATACGACTATTCAAGCTTCGTTTTAATCGTTATAATCGTATCTCCTCTTCCCAAATTGACCATTTTTATTTATAAGCTGAGACACAATTGGAGAGAATTTACCGTATTTATAATAACACGGCGAAAATTCTAATCTTCGTTCCAATAATTTCCGACTGAAGATTTGTATCGCAAGTGTTATATCGATACTTTATTCGCAAGGCAGTGGCTATGCCAATTTTGATCGAGAATATTTAAATCGTTCACTTAATTACTCAATCTTGGGCAATTAAACAAAATCAGTTGCTGTTATATCAGGAACGTCGGAAAGCCTAATAAGTCTATAAGAAAAATTATTGTATAAAGCTCAGGTTTGTTAAAAACATCGATAATAGTACAGTTGTGAAAATGTTCCGCCGTCCGAGGATTAAAATAGAATTATCAGTTATTCTGTCATGTTAAGAGGAAACTTAAAATTCTGTTTCTACGCGATTATTCCAAACGAAATTATTAGTTCATAATTATTGAGGATAACTGGTTGGTATACGACTGAAATTGATATTCCTATTGAACAATTCATTAAAAAGTTTTCAATTGCAAATTCTGGACTCCCAAAAATTATTATTATTATTATGGTATTTTTAATTATTAATTTAATTATTAATTATGGTATCATCCTCGGTAGATATAACGCGTTGAAACAAAAATACAGTTACTCGAATTTCAAAATCAAACGTTCCACGTCCGCCAACATATGTTACCGTTCACCTCGTAAAGGTCTCAAAATATTTTTGGAAAACCGCAATATCGGCAACCGATGAAAGCTGTTGTATATCGAAAAAGTCGAATCCCCGATTGTCCCGAGCACAAAAGCCGGACGCATCGCCGCATCCACGTTTCCGAGTTTACGCGATTTTATTGCAGGAGGAATGAAAAGAGAAAACGCGGTACTATCGAGCTAAAAATGGCACGTGTTGCGCGAAAGGGGTGCCCGCGAACCGTTCACCCTTCCGCTCGACGTGGCCCATTCACAAAGCCTATGTTAATTCCTCGGACTTTTTTCGGGATCGACCCTAATTTTGACGATTTCCACGGGTTTTACAAACTTTTTTTTTCTCTTCATTCCCTGTGTCCCTTTTTCTCTTGCTGTTAGCCGGTGTTTCTGGAATCGACGGCACACGCTCCCATCTGTCGTCGTGGTCGTTCGTCGACAGGTCGGCGAAAAGCTGCCGGGGGAGAGGCGAGTCGGTTACAATGGAAAATCTAGGAGCGCGTGCTAAGCCAAGAGGGAGCATGCCGGCCGAAGGGACGAAAATCTTATAAAAGATTTCCAAAATATTGTGTAAATCGGCTGGGGTGTGCGCCAGCTGAAAATTTGGGGTGAAATCCGTCGAAATGGACGTGTGCCGTGGCTCGCACCCGGCACGCTTCACGCGCCCCGCTAAACAAATAAAGGGTTGCGCGCCTTTTCCGCGCGGCCCCCTTTTCGAAACCCAGGACGCAGCCGAACAATGCCGGTATTTTCACCCCGTTCGACCAAGTTTTTCCCGAATCGCGGAATCCTTGGTGTGTTTCACCCCTTTTTGAAATCGGTCGACTAGAAAAAAGGAAAAAAAAACGAGAAAAAGAGAAAGAGAGAGAGAGAGAGAGAGAGAGAGAGAGAGAGGAGAGAGAGAGAAAGAAAGACACACACACAGAGAAACAGAAAGAGATGAAAAGAATGTGTGTACACGGGAGAAAAGCATGGCGCGTTTGTCGTGAGATCGTTGAAAGGATTCCACTGATTCGAACCATTTTATTTTCCGACCGGTTTTTCGCCGCTGTTACCCGAACCCTTTTCACGCTTTTGTAAACTATTCCGCGATGATATTTCATTTCCGCGTGACACGGTTTCGGGGACCGATCGGACGCCCGCTTCTCGCTTATCGCGGTACTTCTACGAAATTAAAAAATTCTTTTTGTTAGAATAAAAGCTGCTTCTGGCGGTGACTCGATTGTAATTTCGTTCGCCGTTGTACTCGATGTCCGTTGGTCCTCTAGCTACCTATATTTCGATTAATCAACTCTTTTTGTTTGTTGCGCGATTGTTCCTTGACCGTGAAAACTGTTGAAATAATTAGAACACGGATTTCACGCATTTTTGACAAAAATAAATGAATGAAGAACAATGCTGTGAAGAGTTTACAAGGAGATATCAATATCGTTGCGTTGTTTTCGACATGTTAAAATTATTGAAAGAAGAAGTACGCGTCCCTATTTAATTTTTATTTCCCATAATCGGAGGGAAAGATTTTTTATTTCGGATAATGATGAAATGTCACAAACGAGACAGTCACTGTCGTACGAAGAAAATCTGCCTAAAATAATTCAGAGAAATTATAAGAGAGGTTTAAGAATTTCGATAAGGTACAGCTGAAAGGAGAGATCCATAATTAATATCGATAATAACGACGTTTAATCGGACCGTTTAATCCGACAAGATACTTCGAGGAACGCCCGAAGACAACGGACTCGACCCGTGAGAACATCTCCCAGCCCCGGTCGGACTGGTATCTCGTAATGGTCGTTATCTTTGGCTACGACGGCGTCGTTTATAAGATCGAACAATAGCGCTTCACGAAATTCGCTACGTAGCGAAATATTTCGTGGACCCTCGACCCGCCACGTGGATTCCTTTGATCGTCGAAGACGTCGGACGCGAGAGTGTGGTAGTTCGGCCGGCGGTGGTGAAATTATTACGAGAGCGGAGGGGATGAAATTTCCAAGTTGCCGACCGATGGGGGAAAGGAAGCGTGGAAACGAGAGGAAGCGAGGGGGTGAGAAAGTGCTGCGGAGCTTGGAGAAGGGAGAGAGAGACTTTGATAATTGCAATTCACTTCCTTGTTGGTGTATAACCAGCGTTTGTGGTGGTTGATGAGTGGGATAACCGTCGGGGTGGACCTTGACGAAAGTGGCGGGGTGCGTTCGGCTCGATACCTTTCTTAAATTTACCAGGAACCTCGAAGACCGGACCGTCGACTGCCGCCATCGGTTTCGTAAATAAATGACGGCTAGGGAAACAAACGGAACGGTCCCGATTATTCTATTCAGCTTCGGCGGGGGTGGGCGCGAGGCACGAGTGGACGAAGGAACAATATTACTTGGCTGTGTTCGAGACCATTCTGCGGCTCCACGCCCTGGCCGCCCTTAAAATTTTCGTATTGTTCCCGGCTAAATAAAACCCTCCGCGAAGAAAGCCGAGTGGTATTGAATTCGCGGCGAGAGACCGACAACTGGAGGATTTACTTTAAGAAGGTCCAGGCTGCATTGTTGCGATTTCACAGTTCGAAGTATTAAATTTTATTTGCCAAACAGAAAAACCTCGCCGCGTTATTTATGGTTTCGATCGGCGCGGCGCGGCGGCCGCCTCGGGGCGAAGCTTTCCTTCTAGCCCTAATTAATAACTGGAGGCGAACGATAATGAAAAATTGCTGGTTGTTTTATCTACGGGAAGGAATTACATTTCCCCCTCTGTGTGCACATATGTGTATGTGTGTGTATTATATGTATGTTATATATATATATATATTCTCCCTTTTTCGGAGCTCTTGGAAACCGCAAGAAGTTATTGATTTTTATATATATACGATTTTCGGTGTGTACGCTCGTCTCTGTGTGTTTGCGTACAAGAGTAGGGGATGGCTGTGTGTCATTTACTCATTGGTGGTTGGTGGGACAGAGATGAGAACGGTTGCCTTCCGCCTTCCCTTTTCAAACCGAGTCGACTCCGGCCATCAACCGAAAGGAAAACTCCGATATAGCGCAGGCGTTTCACGTCTTCGGGTCGCGCTCTCCCTCTCGCTGAAAATTGACCAACCCGCTTTTCCTTTCGTTTTCCCATAAAATATTATCCCTCGCTACACTCACGACGTATCGTCCAGGAGCTGATACCCCCACCCCCTCCCCTGTCATCGCTGCTCCACCCTCTTTTCCTTTTCCGTTATATCGTCGCTCTCTCTCTCTCTCTCTCTCTCTCTCTCTCTCTCTCTCTATATATATATATATATATATATATATATATATATATATATATTTCTTTTCCTCTTTATTTCATTCTTTTTTTTCGGTACGTGTTTGCGCGGAATGGAAAAAAGTTTCGTTAAAGAAACCAGATACGATGATATTTGACTTGTGCGCGTGTTCTTCTACCGGGTAAAGTGACAAAGGTTCGGGACACGCGAGCAATTTGTCACAATTTAATTCATGACGGCGACCCCGTCGCGATATGCTGGAAAACTTCATCGGAGCGGCACCCTTTAAAATACGAAACAATGAATTTGATCGATCTGACGGGAAGGGCAGTCGAGTAAATTGAATTATACAAGTTGATATCGTGCAGCGGTAAACGGTGAAAATTTAATGAGCAACGTAAGAACGGACGAGCGGTTAGAAACGGAAGGAGTGAAAATCAAATGGAGCATATAATGAAATCAAAGAAATAAAATGTTGTTTTATTCGTACATACCCGGTCACACGTGCGTAAATCATAGTAAATCGAGGTCGAAAATATACAAAATAATACAACGGGAATGTAATAGGATAAAAATCAGGAACGTCCTTACTTCGCAGTCTTATTATAAAAATATACGATCGATTTTGTATCAATAAATCATTAGTGGTTAGTGGTCGTTATGTATGTACGTATACATGTACACTATGTACTACATGCACGTGTACATATCGATACTCGTATGTGTACATATTTATATGTATACACGCTCTCTCCGACTACGTCGACGTGACTAGATCAGCGTTTTTGGGATTGTAAATCGTTTCGAAAATGACTAGATCGGATCAGAAGAAACTTCCTCTTGACGCGCGGTGTACGTTAAACAATTCGGTACGCACTTGGAAAACACGTACACTCGTCTAATGATAATAATAATATTATTATTAATAATAATAATAATAATAATAATAGTAATAATAATAATATAATACAGATTATGCGTATATAATACTTTCGACATCAGTGTGCGAAATACGCTCGATCTATGATACGCGTATTCATATGTATGTATATATATACCAATAATATATATATATAATATATATCAATAATCAATATATTTCGTGTTTCTTTCATTTCCTTTTGATTTAAGGGGGTAAAATTTGATTTTGCGCTCAATTACGTTTAGTCAAGGCAACGCTAGTTTCGGGACGCTGTTGGTTCGCAATCAAATCATTCGCCGGGGTCCGCGATGCCGTCGTGATTTCCTGTGCCAGCGAAAAACCACCGAAAAATGGAAAAGAAAATGAGAAAGGAAAATACAATCTTTAAAAAGGAAACCAATGCTCTGGAATCGATGAGATTCGATCGGGTCAACGATTCGCAGCCGGCACACGAGAAACCATGACGCTCCCTCGTTCCCCGGCGTGTCTCGTTGCCCGATATATATTATCGACTGCGAGTCGTTACAATAATTAAAATCTACGACCCTCGTTGCCGCGCACGGGCCATTAAGTGCACAATACGCGTATTTCCATGGGATGCAATTAAGAGGGTGCCGATTTACATGGACGCACGCGTTTTGCATGTCACCCGTGCGTTCCGCCCGTGGGGTGAGAAAAATGGACAAAAGGGGGAGAGGGGCAGGCCTTTAAGAGCTCTCCCTCGCCCCCCTCGGTTACCGATCGTTTCTCCTGGACTTTTTCGGAAAAATTCCGACCAAGGTCGCGACCTCTCCACTCTGACCTTTCCCGCGAGGGGACCAGATGCAGGACCGTTTGTCCAGACCCATCTCGACTGCACCACAATGCTGCTAAAAATTCTATTTTCCCTACCCGAAATTCTCTCTTTCTCTCTCTCTCTCTCTCTCTCTCTCTCTTCCGCTCTCACTCATTCACTCATTCTCCATCTCTCTCTCCCTCCCTTTCGTTCGTTCTCCCTGTTACTCGACTTTTTCTTTGACCGGCTCTCTATCCTTATTTCTGGATCTCCCCACCTTCGCACCCCTCCGTCGATTCTCTCTCTCTCTCTTTCTCTTTTCCTCTCTCAATGAATTCGTAATGGCCGATTCCTCCGGCCCCCCCCAGAAATATGTTAATGCACGCGTGCGCGCATACACTAATTCGACCCGAATTTTCGCCGGAAAACCCGAGCGTGGCCTGTTAAATGACGCGGCGCTCGAATTTCAGCTGTCCCGGGGAAATTTTTATGGGCGCTGAGACAAAGGTCACCCGGCCCGACCCGCGCCCGTTTTTGCGTCCGACGCGTACACGCGCGCAATAAATCGTGATCGGGCGGAACGAGCCCCGACTCGACTGACCCGGTCGTTTACCGAATTTCCAAAAACGCAGCTGGACTCCGATCGCGGCGATTATTTCTGTCGCGGTCGAGATCCTCCGATTTCGTGTTCGTGTTCGGCACGCCCGAAACACGGCGAAAACGGATGAACGTGGAGCGCGCGTGGCGTCCTCCTCGTGCAAACACGACGAAAGTTGTCGAAACGGGCCGCGTTATTATTTCATAATCCGAGGTCAACATCGCGTGGGCGTGCGTCGAGGGCGGAAACGTAACGCGCGCCTGTTTGTTCGTCGAAGGGACGAGCTCCCCACCGGTGCAAGGAACGCAGTTTCGAGAGGCGAGCTCAGTTTCGAGCGGCTGCTGCATAGCCATCGGCCGGTCACTCAAAAACAGCTGTCTTTTCGAACACTTCGATCGACTGTCTCGCTGACCGTTAGCCGTGAAGCCGGGAGAAAGCTGAAAACCGAGTAAAAAATACACCGTACAACGTATCTCTTTTTTTCTTCTACGTATCGTTAAACCGTTATACGATCCTCCTCGAATTCGAACGACGGCGCGGCGCGCGTTATGGCCTCAGCGTTACGCGCGATAATGATAACAGGAAAGACGGCCATTACGAGATCCAGAGAGTCGCTCGTGTGTTTCTCTATAATTATATTTGCTTCGTCTTCACCGGTGACAACGAAAATAGTATGTGTCGATAGGCTCGTGTCGGACGTGCGCCGGGGAAAAACTCGACTTTTTGATGGGCGACAATGGAAATTTTGATTCTCAGTTTCTTCAGCTGCAAGGCACGAGGTTGAAACAGCTTCTCGCAAAAAGGAACTTCACGTTTCATTGTACAAACAACTAGACTATGCGAATATTAAACTGTTTCGGTATAGTAGTTCGAGAGGTATGGTTGGCAACCACGAGTAGAGTAAAAAATGGGAACCGTACGGTTGAATATATTCGCGAGGATGGTCGTCCGAGATCTTCCGATTGCGAAGAAATCGGGGGCGCGTTATTCGATACTCGCGAAATGCTATATCGATAATATTTAAACGATTATTTTAATTCTATGCGATCCGTTGGCTGTGTATACGATTGTACTTTTTGTTGCGAGTTATACTGTGTCGACCCTGAGTTTTCATTGGCTCTCTCTCTCTCTCTCTCTCTCTCTCTCTCTCTTTCTCTCAATTTCTCTTGCATTCTCTCTCTCTCTCTCACTCTCTCTCTCTCGCTCGCTCTCTCGCTCTTTCTCCCTGCACGTTGATATCTAAATATTGTAACCGTAGATTAAGTCTGCTGCTGGCGCACGACAATAATTACTAGACTGCGGAATTTTATGCAGTTTGTAATCGATTAAAATCTTCCGAAATTTATAACTCGCAGCGTTCGATACCAGCTCAACTGGAACCGATTTTATTTTCAATCTGCTGCATCNGGAAAAACTCGACTTTTTGATGGGCGACAATGGAAATTTTGATTCTCAGTTTCTTCAGCTGCAAGGCACGAGGTTGAAACAGCTTCTCGCAAAAAGGAACTTCACGTTTCATTGTACAAACAACTAGACTATGCGAATATTAAACTGTTTCGGTATAGTAGTTCGAGAGGTATGGTTGGCAACCACGAGTAGAGTAAAAAATGGGAACCGTACGGTTGAATATATTCGCGAGGATGGTCGTCCGAGATCTTCCGATTGCGAAGAAATCGGGGGCGCGTTATTCGATACTCGCGAAATGCTATATCGATAATATTTAAACGATTATTTTAATTCTATGCGATCCGTTGGCTGTGTATACGATTGTACTTTTTGTTGCGAGTTATACTGTGTCGACCCTGAGTTTTCATTGGCTCTCTCTCTCTCTCTCTCTCTCTCTCTCTCTCTTTCTCTCAATTTCTCTTGCATTCTCTCTCTCTCTCTCACTCTCTCTCTCTCGCTCGCTCTCTCGCTCTTTCTCCCTGCACGTTGATATCTAAATATTGTAACCGTAGATTAAGTCTGCTGCTGGCGCACGACAATAATTACTAGACTGCGGAATTTTATGCAGTTTGTAATCGATTAAAATCTTCCGAAATTTATAACTCGCAGCGTTCGATACCAGCTCAACTGGAACCGATTTTATTTTCAATCTGCTGCATCTATTAGCGGAGAGAATAGAATATTCAGTAAAAATTTAAAAATATGCATAAAATACCGGCTCCGATGCAGAATAGCGAGAATGATTTTATTTGATTTCGAGTTTATCGAAGCCATTCGCGGAGCAACTAGAATTTGATTTTCCAGTTTCCTTTAACCCGCTCGCAGATGCGTGAATGGTCGTAAACTTCCGCAGTCCGGCAATTATAATTTTTCATCTCGTTCTGTCGTAAGGTTATTTTCTCTGTTTTCACCTTTTCTATTCCTCGTTTATCGTACCTTACGTATATTTTATAAATACCTCTTTAAATCTCCCCCCCCCCCCTTCGTTCGCTCTTTCGTTTCTACATAGTATGTATGTGTATTGACTAGCACGATTGCGAAAATGAAGAAGTGATCGCGTATTCTACTTTGCTTCCATGCGTTCCCTTTTGTTCCCGCCTGCGTACACGTAATTTCTGGATTTGAGCAAAAGCAAAACTGGCGTTACGAGGCGAATTGCAAACGAACAAAGGACATTATCGTTGCCCGACAGGTAGAAGATACGGTCGCGTGCTCATTGGAGGTTCGTCGCGTTTAAAATAGGAACTTTCTCTATCGTCCTTTCACGTTATACCATCAACTATTTACAATATAACGTTCCGAACTAGAACAGAATTAACAACGTGGTTTTCAAACGCGGAACCCTTCTATCGTCCACCGACATTGGTCGGAGTGCGAACCGATCCAAGACGCTGCTGTTGGCCGTCTATAAATTATATTATTGTATATATATATATGTATGTATCGAACACTCGATTAATCATCGTTACGAAAGATCACGAAACAAGCAGGACAAACAGGCGCATGAATATGTAGTAGTAGTAATAATAATAATAATAATAATAATAGTAATAGTAATAGTAATAATAATAATAATAATAATAAAATCTTCTGAAAAGCACACATCCCAGAATGTTCGTCCACCACGCTGGAAACTGTCGTCTGGCGGGCCGTTTTGTGTAAATAAATAAATAGTGAATATCAAAAACCATGTTTCGCGTCCGAGGTCACCGTATACGCGCTATTCTCGGTGCAGCAAGACACGCGTACACTAAACAATTGATAAAATGGGACTCCGGTGGAGCCGCGTATATGAAAAATATATATAAACTTTCGCTAACTATTACCTTACACGTTAAATAGGAACGAATAACACGTGCTCAAATCGCAGACGCAGAAACGGGTCCAGGAAATGCCGAAGGGGATCGCGGTTCGATGATCTCAAGCGGGGCTCAGGGTGAAGGAGGCGGTCAGCGCGTTGCTGATCCGCGATTTCACCGGCAAATAGACCAAGGCCGGCGCGAATCGTTTCTCGGAGCCGGACTCGTCGCCGGATTGCGTAATCTCCTGTTCCTCGATTAAAAACGGCTGCATGATCGTTTTGTCCGGGTTCGAGTTCATGTCCTGGGGCATCGCGTAGCAGGCCGGCATCTTGTGTCTGTTCGCGACGTCCTTCAGCGTCCTGCTCAGCTCGGCCAGCACGCTGTCCGTGGGATCGCCTATCGCCTTGTGATCTTTCCTGACATGCTTCTTGATCCTGTTCAGATTGGTCGTCGCGTAGCCGCACTGCGCGCACTTGTACACACCTTGAGGTGTCACCTGGACCGCCGTGTCCTCTTGTCGTTGGTTCCTGATCGATTCCGGGATCGTTTGAATGGCAGTGACTTGCGGACTGTTCCTCGCGCGCTCGTCTTTCGTTTCCTGCTCGAACTTCTCCTTGACTTCGACCAGCTTCTCCATGTCCAGGCCCAAGTTGCCGAGAACAGGCGGTTGAAAGTGAGACAGGAGCGCGGGGAACTGATGCGCCGTGAGCAGGTGTTGATGCAGCATCTCGGGCTGATGAAAGCCCTGCGAGCAGATCGGACACTGCAACGATTTCTCGACCTCCGTGCTCTCCTGAGCGTTCACGTGGGACCGCTCGTGCAGGAAAAGGAACGGCAACACGGTCGTCGTGAAATTGCAATAAGAGCAACGGTAGCTTTTCAGCTGCTGGTCCTCCGAGGATGATCCCAGCAAATTCGACAGCACTCGATTGCCCAGGCCGGCGTACTCCGCCGACTTGATCTGCTGCGGAATATCGAATCCATTTGGTATCTTCAAATTCGAGTTCTGCGCGTTCTTCGAGGCGTTTGATACACGGTTCCCGGATTTCGTAGCTTGATATTGCTGTTCCATCTCGCGCCACTTGTCGATGCCCATCTTCCCGTGGTCGCCCATCAAGTGAGCCTTCAGCCACTTTATGCTGCGAAACCTTCTGTTGCAAATTGGACAGACCTCGGTGAAGTGCGTGAAGTATCTGTGACTGAGATCGCCGAGCTGCTCCGGCTTCAACGCGTCGTCCGCATTAGGCGGCTCTTGAGCCTCCTGCTTCGTCGAGCTGGGCGTGTTCTCGTCCACGATCCCGTGCGTGTTGTGCTTGTGGACACGCAAGAAGTACTTGCTGCACAGCTCCTTGTTGCAGATGTTGCAGATCACTCCGCCGATCTGGGCCCCGTTCTCGATCTCGATACCGTGCATCCTTTGCATGTGCGTCTTCATGAAGTACTTGTTGCACAGCTCCTTGTTGCAGATCTCGCAGTAGCTCGACGTCGGCGTCATCGACATCACCTTCTTCTCGGTCGGCGTCTGGCTGGTCGGTGTCGTATTGGTGACCGTGGCTGTGGTGGTGGGTGTGTGGGGAACGGAAGTCGAGATTGCCGGTTGATGGTCCTCGGCGATGTGTCTTCGGAGAGCGTCTTGGTTGAGATAGTCTTTTCCGCACAAGCTGCAGAAGGAGGAAACTGTCGTCACGGGTGATTTATCCTGCGGCGAGGACCCGGGGTCCTCGCCGATGGTGCCGTGCTCCGTCGCCATGTGAACGTGCAAGGCTGCTCTGCAGTCGCACTCTTTGCCGCAGACGGCGCAGCACATGCCCTTGCCGGACTTCAGTCCGTTCAGCTGCAGCAGCATCGTCTGCAACTTCTGGAGGTCTTCGGAGATGGAGTCGTTGCGCTGGTCCTGCTGCTCCAGGTCGCTTTCCTGTTTCGGCGACTGCTGCTCCTCGCTCTCGTGCATCTTCCGACAGTGAGCCTGATACAAACCGATCGTCTGAAACCGTATGTCGCAGGTCTTGCACTCGTAATCCTCCCCCGCCCGTTCATTCGACTCCGTGCTGCACGCGCTCTCCGCCACGATCAGGTTCAAAGGGCTGGTCTGTACTTGATGCCAGGTAGCCGCGGACCCCGGGTTGCTCGGGGACTTCTCGTTCTCCTGAACGACGATGCCGTGCCTCTTCATTTTATGCGTGCGCAGGAAATACTTATTGCAGTACTCTTTACAGCATATCTCGCAAAACGCTTCCGGATTTATGACCCCTAAACGACGCAGCCGATCGGCGTTAAATCCGGCGTCCCTTGCCTGCTGAATCGATTGAGGCGATAGGTGTCTGGGCGCCGGCACGAACGTCGCGTCTTCCTGCTCCATTCCGTACTCCTGTTTGAAAAGGGTCTCCATGCCGCCAGGACTGTTCCTCGGGGTCTCTCTGTCTTCTTCGTTCTGCGAGAACGCGATCTGCGCCTCTTGCGACTGGTCCGGTTGCTGCTCGATGTGCATCTTCTGCTTGTGCTTGCGCACCGAGTCCTCGTTCTTGAAACGTTTCTGGCAGAGATCGCAGGCCACGCTGGGCGTGGGCGGTGTCACGGGCGGCTCCAGCTTGACCATGCTGTTCGGAAAGCTTGCTGGATAGAGGCTTCCAGCGAGGTTGTTGTCCGCCGTGCTGGGTCCGGGCGAGTCGACGTAGATCCCGTGCTTGTTGGCCTTGTGCGTCTTGAGGAAATACTTGTTGCAGAACTCTTTATTGCACAGGTCGCAGTACGCGTCCGGATTGAAGATCCTCATCGGCGCTTGGCCCATCGGCGGGCGGACGATGTGACTGGAATCGGTTAGCGGGAACGCGGGCAAAGGTAGATACTGCGTCAACGCGCCGGGGAACCCCGCTTGAAGGGCTTGCAAGTGATTCGGTAACGCGGAGAGCTGGTTCACGGGACTCGGCCATAGCTCCTCGTTCTGCGCCTGCATCTGCGATTGCACGTGTTGCCCTGTCGCGCCTAGCCAATTGGTCGCAAAGCTCTTTACGCTGAGCAGGTTCACGGGGTTCTCGGATTGGTCCGGTTGCTGCGGCGGTTCCGCCTTGACCACGTTGCTCGGCGAGCCGGTTCGATTGGGACCGGCTAGCCGAACCGCGGCACCGTGCTCGTTGTCAATGTGCGCGTGCAACGCAGCCTCGCTGTCCAAAAACTGACTACAATACTGGCAACGGAACTCGTTATTCAGGTTCTCGTCGCCGCGCGTCGACGACCGGCTCGGTACGGGTGACTGCGTCGACAGCTTACCTTCGCTGTCCTCGTCCTCCTCTTCGTCCTCGTTCGACTCCTCGTGCAGGCCGGCCGTCTGCGTCGAGGAGAATCTTACGGGCGTCGTTTGTTTCCGCCTCTTCTTCGGCCCCGTCGAGTCGACGTCGACGCGGAGACGTTTCCTGGCGTCGCCGCGCTCCCCGCAACTCGACCCGTCGCTGTCCAATTCCGTCAAGTCCGATATCGTCGTTTCATGCGCCATCGTTGAGGACATCGTCTGCTCTACACGACAAGCCCCCGGTCCGCTCCGCGCTCTTAGATCTCGTCACCCTGTCGAGCACAAGAAGTTCGCCACGCGTTACCATCTGCAGTCGCGTACGTCGGAATTCGGTGGTCGCGGGACTGGATCTGTGTCGATCAGATTCTGGGATCGATTGTTCGTGTTTCCAGCGACCTCGATGTAGTATCGTCTAACGAGTGTGGAGGAGAAACATGTATACACAATGGGTTAATCACCAACAATTATTTCACCGTCAAATATTTACAGCGACTCCCGTTTTACTGGCAAATGTTATTATCGACACACTTCGTATATAAGAAATACGGTCGTTGCCGACAATATATTAGAACAGCTATTTATAACTAATGAAATAGTTAATAGTTCTCTGTCTCGCAAGTACAATTAATATATAATTTATATAATAATCAACTAATCAATGACAAGAAACATATATTTTGTATGCCCAAGTGTCAGCCTAAATTGCTTTATAAATTGCTTTAAATCGACGTTTAATGTATAACAATTAATAAAAATTGTTGTTTAATAAAGTACTAATATAAATGTATCATTATGGTCCCTACTTCTACATTTTTTAATAACATTTGTCGGTGAAACGAGAGTTGCTGTAAACATTTGTCGGTGATATCAACGTGCCGGTGATATCAAACAATATCGGTGAAATGCGGCGCCGCTGAAATCGTGTCGATGAAAACATTGTCGGCGAAATAATTGTTGGTTATTTTAAGGTAACCCATACATAATATACATGCATGATGTGTCAAGGCTCATTTGGACACCCTACACGCGAGTGGACATGGTCCGAAAAGGGAGGCGTTTGGGGAACGCGCTATATGAGTCATATGTACGCCCAACGTTTGGGGCTGCACGCGGAGAATAGCAGGAATACGACTTTTGTAAGCTCTGTGATTACTAATTGAACTCGACAGACCCGTGCTCGCTAAATAATCCACGGGTCCGTTTCGAGCTACTCGAATTTCTCGGTAATGCCGGGCGCACGGCGCACAAAATGTTGACGTCGACGCGAGGTATGCGGATGAAAAACCAGGTAAAAATGACCGATCGATTTCTCCTTGAACAAATCATAAAAATCATTCGTTTCGTATTCTTACCAGCGATCGTCTTCGGTTCAGGAGTCACCCGTTGGGCATCCTCCTTTCAATCCGCATCCGCCGTCCGACGAGCATTGACAATAAATAAATAAATCAGCTCCGAAATAACACAATCCGGCGCGTCGCGTTGAACTTTGTCGGTCGTCTTCATCGTGTGCGAACACTGCCACATCCTTGTCGAAAGCACAAACGATCGCACAGGTCGGAACGCGAACAGTTTCAAGACGAAGACGGAGATTTTTCGAAAGGCGTCACTGGCACGTGGCGAGGGTTGATACACCGGCACGAAGGGTGGCCACCTCCGGGGGACGTTGGTCGAACGAGTACTCGAGAGAGAACCGAGTGCACGATAGAAATTTTACACGTCGTCGGGACGATGGCTCGGCGTGTGCCGATTGGGAGGGTCGATCGGTAAAAATTATCGGGAGGATCAATTCGACGGGAGGAAGAACGAAGGGAGCGACGAGGAAGGTGGATTCTTGAGAGAGATTTAAGGACCGAGACGAACAGCTGCAGGCGAGACGTCAACGAAATTTAAAGATCTTGAAAAGGTGCTAATCTACGAACCCTCGCAGGCTTACGCCTCTCCTGGGCTCTCCCAGGTTACTGTTAGGTGCAGACACGGTGCCCTGTGAAGGGCCTGTCACATCGTTTTCGTCCCTACCACGTTCAAACAGCTACCACACAAATATCCCCCACCACACACTAACGAAGCAGCGCTCGCTTCCATCCTCGATCAGATGATTTCAAAAATGATGCGATCGATTCTCGCGCGACTCGATGCTTAAGCATGATTTGAATTTGAATAATTGACGAGGAAAGTGCTAATTATATCTTTCTTTCGTATAGATAAGCGCGCCTCGGAAATGTTACGGTTTCCACTCGATAAATGAATAATCGCGAAACGACAGACCGCGCGCTTGTCTTCTATTTATTAACGTTAAAACAGGTGATCGATCATTTTTTAACGACGCTCCCTTACGGACTGTCGAAAACTTCCAAGACTTTCGATTCCGCGGTTTATATCTTTAATCGGTGCCGCGTGATGTTGACGTTTTCGTGTTCGCGTTGTTTATCGATTTCCATCGAAACGAGGGCAACAATTTTTAATTTTGCTCGACGATGACGGCGCAGTATTCTACTTTACGGATTGAACGTTCGAAGCCAGGCGAGGGTTATTATTTGACATTCGAATGTCTGCGTGTCTGCGTATCCGTCTACGGAAATTGGATTACGGAGGGGTTGAAAACAGGAGCATTGAATCGGGATCAGCGAAGGAAGGGGAGAGATCCTGTGATGCAAAACCCGCATTTCTGCGCAACGTTCCACGGATTTTCCAAAAATACGCGTAAATACGCCCGTATGGCTCGTCGAAGGGTCCGCGGGCGCGCGCGCGTGTGCGTGCGCGTTCGTGTTGGGGAAAAGCTTTTGCACCGTTTCTGTCCAAAATTGGATGAATGACAGCGAATGAACGGAAAGGGGAGAAGAATGATGCAGAATGGGGAATTTCGTGTCTTTCACGAAAGGGTGTCGAGGAAAACATGTTGTTAGAGAGTAGAAAGCGTGAAGGATCGAGGTGTGGGGTTGAAAATAATCATCGAGCCTACGGCGAAGGGACGGGAGAGGTATTATTAACGATGCGCATACATTGCATATGCCTTTCCTCGGTTCCCTCGAATCGTTTCGCGGCCAGAAATTGCGTGGGCATACCGCGTGCTGCACGGTAAACAACGTGCCGGCCTCGCCAATATAACGATGCTGCGACAACATATGTCGCGGATGCGCATATATTTGCAGCTGGCCCGGTTTTGGCCTGGTGGAAACGATGCCGCGATAAATTATGCGTTTCGGCGAGGATAGAATCGCGATTAATATTTGAACGCGAAGAAATCGATGTGATCCGACCGAACAAAGCGGAACAGGGCATACCAATATTTCTCGGCGGGGCACGTTTCCTTCGAGACCGAACGCGTTCTCGTCGAAGAGAGACGCGCGTTCGATCCGCAGAGCGATTCGCAGCTAAAGTAATCGAAAAATTCGGGGCCGGCGAGTTTGTCAGCGGGCGCTTATTGGACGCAACGTCGGAGAAGAAAAGGAGGCCGATAGCGGGCCGGAATGTCTCGAATCGATAAGAGTTAGCGAGTGGCGAATTATAGAAGTTCCGTGCGCGGGGCGTTCGATCATCCCCGTTCTCGAACTCTCGAAAGAAAAGCCCTCTCCCGCGAACTTTTTGCGCTCGTCCACCCCCGGAGCGTGCGTGTGCCTGTTAGAGAACGCCGGGGCCGTGCGTGGGTGTGCGCGCGGGTGCGTTTATATGTGATTTCAGTAGAGGCCTATTGATCGAGCGGCGAACTTCACTGGTCCGCACACGCGCATAAGTCTGCTCGTAAACAAGACAAATATCATCGCACCAGTCCTGAAAATCTATCCACCCACCCTCTTTTCTTTAAACGCCCGAGGCGATTTCACCCCGGCCATGTCCGGCACTCTTGCCGACGATATTCGCGTTCAAATCAAATTCTCTCGATTCGTCGACAAAACGAGTCTCTTATTTTCATAATTAGAAGTCGCTTTTGTAAATATTTTCGGAGCAATGGAATTAGGGGATCCGTTGCTCTCCGAGCGCTGTACGAACTGATCGTACGATTGTATTTTCAGTTTCGTGGAAATATCTTCGGAGCAACGCGATATTTGTCGATGAACTAGAGTCGAGAGCTTCGATCAAAACTATCGTGTTTCGCGGAAACCGAAAGCATTCGTGTGATCGAAGAACACGTTATCCGGCTCGCGTTGTAATCATACCGGGAATCGCGGTGCTATGGTAAAAGGTGTGATTCACATAAAGGTGGGGATCACGGAAAGTCGGATCTGCGCAATGCGTGTCGTCGGATGAACCACGTGGAGTATTCGCATGCAAAAGACGTCGCTGGATATCGGACGGTCTTTTAGTCTTCTCTGAATGGGCGACGGTGTAGTGTCGTTTTGTAAATTTCCCGCTGATAGTCGCGGCATCTTTTCCTCTCGTTTTTTTTTCTTTTTATATTCATAGCGAGTACGATCAGACGGTCGGACGTAACTAGAACCACTAATCTGTTGCGGAAAAATATCGACGAAGTTGCGAAGGTCGAACGATTCCGGTCTTGTATAATCGCATACCGTACCGACGCATTGATTCCTCTGCAAACGATTGGATCGCTGGATTCCCAGGAATTTTGCCGGTCATAATTTGTCGACGATGGTTTAAAAGTAAAATTAACGAGTGTGTTACGCGCGTCGTGCGGCGGCGAGCACGCTTTTCGAAGAAGATTTATCACGTTTATCGTGCGCCACTTACCGTAATCAGTAGATCGTCGCCCATGTGGAGCAGCCCGAAATATTCGCGATCGGCCGTTTTCTTCTCGTTATCCATTTGTTGATTATCGCGATACGATGATGAGTCGCATTCATTGAGTTAGGCACGGGCTCGCGACTGATAAAGCCCACGATAACGACGATAACATCACTTTATTCACTGCGCACTGAAAGCCCAGAAAAACAATGGAAAACGTGTGTGCGACGGAAGCTTTGACGTCTTCGTCAACGAAACCGAGACACGGTTCGTCGAAACGTGTCGGGATTGAAAGAAACGGAAAGATAAACAAATAACAACAGCGCAAAAACAATTGCGAGGAGGAACGTCTACGAGTTTCTCTACTTACTATTGTTTTGGCCATCATGCCACGATGGCGGCCATACTAGATATGAGAAAGTATCCCCCACATTGTCCACGGCCATCTACTAATTCCCCCATACACCCCCGCG